GTACCAGCTAGGTAGGAAATAGGTACTAAATTATTGTACCCTACAACCAATCATGATAATTTTATGTTCTATTGCTTCTATATACATACTAGTTGCTATGCTCTAATAATAGATATTCAAATAAGAAATGTATATTTCGTTAGTATACATTTTACGATAATTATTATATTTAGCAGAAAGATTCTTTACAAATTTCCTAAAATTATAATATGTAGGTAGGAAAAAGTAGGTAGTAAAAATTATCCAATTTTCAACTTCAAATGTTGTTTTTGGTTGAAAATTGTATCTAATATTTGTAGTTACCTTTCTTATTAATCCGGAAAAACTTAAAAAAAATCACTGAAAATTGGAAACATTTACACAACCTCAAACTGATTTTATCAATGTTAAAAAACGAATAAGTAGGTAACCGTAAATACTCGATCTTCAGTATTCACCTGCAATTATTTATAATTGTCTGAACATTAAAAGCAGCTATACCTACTATAACAATAGGTAAATTAAATACATTAGGTAACATATTTATTTATTAAATATTTTAGGTACGCCCAAGAAGGGCAATAGTACAGTTAACATAATTTTAAATTTAATCATATCAATAGGGACCTACTTAGGTAATATTGTGAATTTATGGAGAATGCCTACATAATATTAATCAACTAGGATATACCTACATTTAATGCATAGCGTTTTAATTTTACTAAATAATCTTTAAAGAAAGTCATTAAATTTGTTAAATTAACAAATTAACATTCGATAATATTGGGGCTGCTTAAAATGAAAATGTTTACTTATGTTTCAATATATAGAAACAGAATAACGAGTGGCAATTTGTGGTAGGTACCTAGTTGCGTTAAGTGAGATCTTTGGCAATATTTGTGGACTGTCGCGGTACCTATAAGTTATAACCATTCAAAAGTTTATATAGGTACATAATATGAGTCAATAAAATGACGACTTTATTATTTCAAAGAGATCATATGAAACTGACTCTTCACTTTCGAAATAAGATGACCCGCCGAATAAAATGTATGAGCTACATCTACATGCCTACATAGGTACGTAGGGGACGTCTTTGTAATTTTTCGATTTTTTCGATTTTATCAATGAAGCGTGTTTGTCTAGGATTCCAAACTACTGAACCAAATTCAAGTCTAGATCAGACCAATAAATAGTAGGTAGGTACCTAGGTACAAAGTTTTGTAAAAACAAATGAGGTACCTATATTTTCGGATTACCTATACCAGGCCATTGGTCATTCCGTTTAAGAAATTAAATATTAAGTTTATATAGATAACTTTTCGTCGACGACGACGATCGGAAAATAACAATTTCTATTACAATTTATATAACATAATATTATTATTAGTGGTTCGTTTATTTCGCTTTAGTCAATTTAGTCTAATAGTATATTGTACTCCATAGAGTATAGACCTATATGGTCTCAATCGCACGCCCAAAATTCCTAACCTCGAGGAGTTCTAGAATTTACCGAAATGCATAGTCTGCAGAAATATTATTATAAACTTTAGCTAGTTGTGTCCTGTTTTGAAGAAAATGAAGTTAACCATTATAAAATGAATACAAAATGTCTTAGGTTGGGTAACACAAGTGTATGATCGACGAATCATAAAATATTTTTTTAATATCTGAATAGGTACCTACCTATACGATATACCGCGTCGATTTAGTTGCCTTTAGTTACATTTTCATCTAAAAATCGATAATAATATATACTTCTAGATTAGTATCAATGGATTCATTTTTTACGGAACGCATGTTGTTCGTCGGCCATATGCCCATATCTTAGTCCGTGATTGTCGGCTGATACTGATAGAATAATATCTCAGCGACATACCGAGTTCCCGGTTTTCTTTATTTTGGTAAGCACCTATTTGCTTATTTATTGGAAGATAGACTACAATGTAACTTGCCAACAACGATTTACACTTATATGAGCTGTAATATCTAATTTGTCATATATGTAATAATAATATAATACTTAGAAATATACGATAAATTTTTATTTGGGTGCGTTCTATGCAAAGGTGCACATTTGGTTGCATTTTTAGGGGAGGCTAGTATAATCCAATGTAAAGTGACCCCGTGTCCCCCATCATTTATCAAATACACTAGTACACTATATAGCCATATAGGTGTTATAATAAATTTTTTGACAGAAATATGATTATATTATAATGAATTACACTAAATCAGCGGTTCTCAAACTTTTTTTTTCACGTACCACTCATGTGCACTATTAATCTATCGCGTACCACTTATTACAAAAAAAAATTAAATACCTACAATTTAAAATATTCATTTATTTATTCTCGGTTCTATCACTTTGCGGCCTTTCGCATACCGACATGTAGATGTAGTCTTCCACGTACCACTAGTGGTAAGCGTACCACAGTTTGAAAACCTCTGCACTAAATAATAATGTATATTAGATTAGATTATATTAAATAAAAACTCGGTGAGCCCGACTAAATGTTGGTAAATTAAGTATTAAACTTAATTGTATGCTAACCGATTTTAACGGTTTTAGGCTTGTCAAAGTTCTAGTTTAAATGGGTCGGTATACACCTACTATTTCAGGCACTGGGCATTTATTCTGATTCAATTAAACATTAATATGCATCATTTTTTATTTAAATAGATAATATTTGTTTTGCGCGTTAAAATTGTAAAAATATAAACCACAACTTATTTTTATTTGCACTAATTGTATTGTTTATTAAGACATTATTGTACTAAAAATATAAGACGATAAAAAAGTGCAGTATTTGTCCAGTTAAAAAAATATTTAAAACGTTTAAATGTAGGAACCTATGTATATTAAAGATTCCTAAAAATTATATCAAATTCAATATAGAATAAGATAATTAAACACTTATGCTGGTTTCAGGGCGCCATTTCGCCAATGATAGTTAGCAAGGTATTGTTATTTGGTTGTATCATAACCATAAGTTAAATATTGTAATCCAAAATATACAGAAAATAAAAATAATTATTATATTATATTCTACACGTAGTCTTTAAATGTAAGAAGTGACAAAACAAAGGTAGAACCTTGGACGATGGTGAGTGGGTTTAAGGATAATGGAAATATGATAATAAATACTACGTTGAAATCATATACCTATAACAATGACAATAAATATCACAATAGTTACGATACAACGATGTTTATTTATTATTTATTATTATTACTTATTATAGTATTATACTACTTTTATTTTATTATATTTATTACTTTTCAGGACTTTTATCTTCGGGTATATTTTTCCCGGATATAATATTATTCCCCCGCATTTTGTCGCACGCGGATATATTATATTTTCTCTCGGATATGGTTTCCTCAGATATTTTTCTTAGTATATATTTTCCCTGGACATTTTTTTGGGATATTTGTTTCGTGAAGATTTCTTTCCCCGATTTTGTACTCATGGGGATATGATTCAGATCCAGCCCCCCTCCCAATTTAAATTTTAAGTTGAAATAAAAATATTTTCATAAAATAACAATATTATTATATTTTTAAATACATTATATTAAATAATACTAAAATGTAAATATTCTGAAACTAGTTTATAAATTGAAATAGCCTACAACAAAATACGTCTCATTCAATAGCCTACAAAATAACCTACACGGTGGTACCCTAGACAATATTCACACCTTTCAATTTTTATGATAAGTCATTTCACTCTAATATTAAAAATAATAGAGTAAATTTAATTATGTATTTTGAATTTAAAAATTGCAATTGCCTATTAGGTACGTATGAATTAGTGAGTATAGGAAAAAACACATTATATGGCGGCCAAGCTTGGGTATAATGATATACGATAGGTATCCTATAAATAAAATAATATATTTAAAACTATTGTAATACCTATCTAAGTCCTAGCGTGTATTATCAGACACTACTACTGTTGTAATAAATAGGTAGGTACTTAACAATTATTATTTGAGTATGTAAGTATATGTAGGTATTTAATAATTTAACAAAGCATTAATATTTAATTTAATAATAGGTATACCCACTTAATAACAGTTTAACTAATAAGTAGTATTAATTGTTATTAATATAATAACTACCAGCGTATTATAATAAGTCGACGTTTATTACTTACATACGTTTTCTAGCTTATTGACTACATAACACATGTTTATAAGTGATCTGTTAGTTATGGTTTAATATTGTAATCACTAATTAACAAGCATATAACTATTTGTAATTGAAGACCAAACAAAAAAAATAATTATAAGGTAATTGGACTCCTTCCTCTTTAACAAATGTTTGGTTATGCCATGGTTTGAAGCAAATAATCCGCCTGGATCAAGTCATGAGATGTTATTTTCGAAGACTACAGCTTTGCATTCACTATTTGTGGTGTAAATTTCGGTTCGTAGGGTGCATTTGACAAAGGATTTCCGTTTTTTTTCGGCAATCGTTTGTGGGGGTGTTGATCACCATATTTCACACAACGCGGAAGTTACAACAGCAATTTATTGTATGCCCCAATGACTGGCAGTTAAGACATTGAATGATGTTTTTTTATTTCCGGGAATTTTCTACTTTTATGCACGTATAAATTTATAATATGCAAAAGCAAAAAGATTCTTAAAAAATATATGTCAACATTTATGTTAGATGATTTTTGAAATATTCGTATCTATAAGTCTGCGTAAGTGTATGTACCTACTCATTATATTATACATTTAATTTTAAATATTTAGGGGATTTAGATATGTTCTAGATTACAAATATATAATCTGTAGAATCTAATTAATTGTATAAGTAGATACTTACCTGTATAATAATCGAACAAAATCAACCGTAGAGTTTTTTCAAGTATCAATGTAGGTATATCAAAATAATATACGGAGTATGTTTTAAATTGAAACCCTATTTTTGGTGAAAAAAAATAAGGATTTTAAAATTTATGAATGCACATTCAATATTTTATTATACATATAAACTTCATAAAGTAGGCGCTATAGCTAGTGAAATTGTTCTCTTGTTCAACGACGTACGATTTTCTTTCCGTCTCATTAAAAATTCCATCATTTTTTTTTGCATCTGCTTGTTACCACTCCATGATACCCTTTTTGATAACAACCACGTCGCCTACTTTTGTAACGAGAAAAAAAATATATGTATGTATACAGTATAATAATATACATGCACTAATAATAAGGAAAAAACGATGAAACAAAATGGGTGAAAAGTAAAATGACCTTCTGGAATATAATATATATTTTACAATATGTTTACGGACTAAGATTATGTGAAAGTATTTAAAAGCATTTTGTTGACGTCAATGTTAAATAAAACTCGTAAAGCATCTTTAAATATGAAAGTTAAGTACCTATTTTGTTCATAAGTAATAAACGATATTATTTAAACGTTCAGTAGGCGCCAACTTATATTGGCTAATGGCTATTAGTCTGTCTATATTTTCATTGAAATATTTAAATACCTATATTATCTGTACATACATAAATCGAAAGGCAAGTAATATTTGTATGATTGTGTTTTCAATTTTCAATTCATTTTAAGATACCTTGTTGATTACATTTAGATTTATTAGTCTTATTTCCCAGCGGTATAACATTCTATTGATGTATACCGTCTATACAGAGACGGGTATAGAGACTTATTTATAAATTATGATGTGTATGATATAACTAGAATATGATTTTGAATTTGATCATGGTATTATAATTTATAATGTATGAAATTATGATTAAGTTCCAAGAAATATTAAAACATTTTAATTCGTGCAGCAATTAGGTACCCACGTAACTTCTGTAAATTATTTTGTAGCAATTGCAACATAATATTACACAAAAAATCCCAAACATACAGATGATAAGTAGCCAAGTAGGTATTTCGATTTAATCTTTAGTATTTTGAGTAAGTTCTATGTTTGTTTAATATTATCTTAATTTGTCCATAAATATTTAGAGACATAGATGAGATATAGTGTCCATGTAGTATTTGGGTACCTACCCACTCTTTTTACTTAAATAATAAACTTTCCTGGAATTGTTCACCTTATATGATAATAATAAATACTTTTTAGATTTGTTTTTATTTGTATAACAGTGTAGGTATATAGTTACTACTCAACAAACTTAAGTGTTTAAAATCTGATAAAATATAATTTTACAAGATAAAACATATACAATTAAATATTTTCTATCTGTTGCTATAATTTAATTTATATATTTATGATAGTACCTACTGTTACCATTGAGTAGTACAATCTATACCAAACGCAAATAGTACCTACATATAGGCTATAACTAATTTATGCAGTTCATGTTTATTCAAGGTATTTATACAAATATACAATGTTCTCGAGCTTATGAATAATGTTTAGGTAGGATTAAAGTAAAATTATGAATTCCGATTGTTAAAAGTTTTTTAAAAATAAATTTGTTTTAGTTCAACAATATATAATTTTCGTTCACAAAATTTATTCAACATACATTTTATTAATACGTATGTTTGATACCTACAAGAATTAATGTTATTTAATAAATATTATTATAGTTTTAGACAAATAGAGATAAGTTACCAACTACTTATACTCACAAAATTGTTCTTAAGGTTAAGCTGGTATTTTAAATTATTCGAAGTGCTTCTAGTTTCTACTTCAATACTTTGTGTTAGGCTGTCATGTTCGCCAGGTGCTATAGGAGCGACACTGAAAAATATTCCAATACTTATTACTAGAGCCGACAATTATAATATGCCCTATAATTATAAACCTATTAAATAAATCGTATGTATATAGTTGTACCCTAATAATAACCAAAATATCCCCTTTATGTGCGTCAAATTAAAAAAAAAAATATTTTCTTTTAAACTATGAATGATTATTTATATATACTACATGCTGTAAATGATTTAAATCAATTTAAATAAATAAAATAAAAAGTGTAATATACCTACTGTTATTTCAGTATTTGATTTTTCTGTTCAACTGAAAAATAAACATAAAATATGTATGTTTCCATTATAGCCTGCTCAAGCTGATATTCATAAATCTTGAATAATTATTCTGTGATTCTCGATTCGTTGGGTTGAAAATGTCCTAAAAATTTACAAAGTATTAAATATGATTAAAAAATTAATAAAACCCTAAAGTATGCCCTAATAATGCAACAATATGGTATAGTTGTATGTATAGGTTATGAAACAAATTTTTGGTATAAAGCTAGGTTTTTTTTACTAACCAATAAAAATATGAAAATGCATACAAAATGTTGTGCTTACATATTATTATTACCTATAAGTACTTATTATATTGTACCTATTTGAAGTAAGTATATAGTTTTGCTATAAAATTTGGTAAAATTGTTATGCAATTTAAAAAAAATCATTACTTCATCATTTATTAAGATCGAATGTATCCATATTTTATGAACTCATTAATTATTTTGTGGTTAAAGAATAAGAAAATAATATTTTTTAAATAGAATTTATTTATTTTATATTTATTTCTAGTCAAACATTTTATTTGAACTAAACTAATTCATTAATTAACAAAATTGTATAGTTTTATTAATTAAAAGTTATATTTATATTTTTTATGTAGTACAGTGACTGTTACAATATTTACATTAATACTGTTACTATTAAATCCAAGCATTTTTATACAAACTAGAGAATCTTATATTATTTCAATTAAATTGAATGCTTTCGACGATGTTGCTATAAAACATATTATAAACATTTTAAAGTATCATTTAGCCAGATTATATTAAACATTAAATTAGCATAATTTTGTGGTACAAAAGGTTTCTTTTCGAGTGTAATAACACGTCTTTTGTTATTTAACTCGACCTTAGAGAATTTATTTTTCTTGGAGTAGTAGATAGTACCTACTGCATGTCTCACCTTTACATCTAGATAGGTACCTACTATAAAATTACCATTTTAATAGATTCGTCTTTCACCTTTGTGTGTGGTCGTGTAGATGTGAGCATATATTTTTTACGACTAGTTAAAACAAGCAACAATAAGGCCCCTCTAATATAAAACCATTATAAATCCAAAATCATCTGTGCTCGTCAACATATTAGAATGATAATTTTGTTGCATTATATAGCGATGATTATAGTAAGTTGTCAATGTTTCGACTTAAAGACGACCGCTTGATCACTATAATAATCATTTGGATAATAACAATAACAATATGTCTCTATTCAATGGAGGATAAAAAAGAAATAAAAGTGTGCATTTTCAATGTACACGATAGTTTAATATTATAATGTACGAGAATATTAATTTTAATCTATTATAATAGTAACAGGTAAAATTACAGTGCATATAACTATTATTTATTACTCTAGGTTTATAAAAAGTATGGATCTAAGCCGTACGTCTCCGAGCTTGTGTCTTTTTACAATGGCATATTATAGATAATTTTATACCTACCAGTACAATTTTATTTACCTGTGCATCCGAGCAATTCAACGGGAAAACGATTCACTCGTCACGCGACGATAAGCAATTAGCTTCCGGGAATACGAATATATTAAAACCGCAGTTTTCCCACTGTGGGAAATTAATTCTAAGTACCTACAAAACGTAATAGGACTTATTATTACTTTTTTTGCATACGATTTTCTCTTTTTGAACGGTTCGCGGAGTGTAATGCATTTTTGTTTTTTACGTCGTCAAAGCAAACAGAACCCCTCGGGAAACGGGCCGGGTGGCTTGTTTCGTCTAGACCGAGATTGTAATACAGGAGAGGCAATCAGGCAACTCATTGTCGACGGTCCCTGTGCAGTCGAGGCAGACCGTGGAGACCGCAGTTGTCTTAAGGCTGATGAGTGACGAGTCTGCGGCTCAGAAATTGATAACTTTTTCATTTATTTTTAAAGCGTCTTTTAGACGATTATTTCCTAGCTATGGAAATGTGTTTCAATAACATATAATATAAATATTATATGTCAACGATTAGAGGTCCCGCCCGGCGTTGCATGTGCCAAAGATTTGTTGTCTGTTAAGAATGCCAAGGCCAACTATACGAGTATATTATGATTTAAACTTTGTTCAATTCGTTATTTAATACCCGTTGTAATGGTGTCCAAAACTTAAAACATTTCATCGATCATCATGAATGCCTTCCTAGTGCACATTTACGTGGTGGTACGAAGGTACGGTGAAAATGCAAGCCTCAAGTTATCACTAACTTAATATTTTCTTTCATACAAACCCTGTCCTAAAATTACGAATACAAAAAAAAAAATAGATCGGCCAAGCTGTTTCGGAGTTTATTCCGAACAAAAAAAGTGACCTTATTTTATACTATGTATATTAATATGGGTATTTATTTTCATTTTGTATTTTTTTTAGTTTTTTTCTCTTGTTTAGAAATTTTACAATATCATTTTAAATACATTTTCACTCATCGAAAGGAAAATCATGACTTCACTTACTTTTTTGGTTTATTTTCCGACTTCAAAATCTAAACAAATTTCAAAATTAAGTTATTTTAAAACTACCTATTAGACAAAATATTTGTGTTTTCAAGACATACGAAATAAATAAACGTTATCATAAAAATATCATTGCACTTTTTCGAATTTTATTATATAATTAAATGCATTAAAGTCAATTAGAAAAAAGGATTATTATTGTTGTTAGTTTAAGAAGGGAATTAAAACTTATTGTTGGAAAATGCTTTAAATATTTTTAAATTATATTTTAATTTTTTTTTGATGAACTTCTAAGCTCTTGGGTTGATCAACACAATTAATGTAGTTACACCCACTCAGTACGAGCAATGGTGGGACATTGTGTTAACAATGATATAAGGCGACTTCTCACTGCATCGTGATCCAGAAAACATGTTCAGCCCTGCAATTCGCTGAATTCTGTGATTAACCTAGACTCTAAAGGTTAACCACAATGGTCATAAGTAAATACCATGTTATATTGTAGATACCATAAAATAGAATCCAATTCTACTCAAGTCAGATCTTCATAATTATACGGTTAAGGCGGTATTAACACCGTGTTCCGTGTAGACCGTGTTCGTGTTGAATATTGTGCAGAATTATTATTATTATTCATGTTACCACAACAACTATTACAAGTTATAAAAATCATATTAGATATTATAGCAACAATAACCACACGGTGAAAAGTTGAAATAATTC